AGACGAGTGGGAATGGAGCAACATAGGGTGGGAGCGCAGGATAGGAGAGACGGGACGAGCACGGGAGGGACGGCAAGACCACACGTGGGACGGAGGTGTAGGGTCAGGAGACAGCGGAGGGGACACAAAGGGGGAACGAGGAGGAAGACGAACCGGAGACAAGTCCGGCGATGGGAACACAGGGCCGGAGACAGGAAGGTGAGAAGGTGGTGGGGGAGACACCGGCGAGCGGTCGGGGGAGGGAAGGCCGATTAGGCGAAGAGCGGAGACCGGCGGCGACGGTTGCGGCGGCTGCTGCCGTGGCTGGTGCTCGACCCGCGGACCGGCAGGGGCACGACGGCCGCTGGGAGAACACTCAACAGCAGCACCCTTAGAACCAACACCCTCAGATCGAGAACCCCCTCCAGCACCGGCGGCGCCCCCAGGCCCGCCGGGACAGACCACGCCAGGGGCCGCAGGACGAACACCCTGCTCAACGCCAACACCCCCAGAGGCCAAGAGCGGCAGCGGTGGCAGCGGCGGCGACGGCGGCGACGGCGACGGCGGCGGCTGCGACAGCGGAGGCGGAGACACCGGGGAAGTGGGACACGGCAAGGAAAGGCTGGGGGGACCACCAGAGTCAGCAGACTCCTCAACGGGGACAACCGACGGGAGGGGAGTGACATGGGAGACACCAGACGGGGCAAGATGAGGCGGGAGGGGAGTAGGGGCTACCGGGAGAGAGGGAGCCAGGAACAAGGGGGGGGGGAACCGGGAGACCTCGGGGAGGGAAGCGACGGTAGAAGCAGACAGATTCGTCAAAGGTGACGTCACGAGAGTGAAGGAAGCGGTGAGACTGCGGGTGGTAGAACAGTTAGTCAGACAAGTCCAGGGGGAAACCGAGGAAGACACAGGGGACAGTGCGGGCAGTGAGCTTGTCCGTGCCAAACGTGAGCAAGGCAACCCCAGACGTGGAACGCAGACGCGTCACCGGGGGACCCGGTCCAAAGGAGGGTCGGCGAAACCCGCGGCCACTGGGAGCGTGGCCACAGGTTAAGCTGGTGAGCAGCGTAGCGGACAGCGAATGGCCATAGAAAATGGGGGGCATCGGCATGAATCATGGAGGTACGGGCAACCTCCATGACCAAGCCGATGCGGCGCTCAGCAACCCCATTCTGCTATGGCGAGTCCAGCAAGGTGTACGACTGGGTGATGCCCTCCGCACGACAGAACTTTCCAAGCCGACCAGAGGCGAACTCGCTGACATGGTCAGAGTGGAGAGACAACACGGGGAGACCGCGGTGAAGACGCGCAGCCACAACCCACGGGAGAAGAACGTCGGGCACGTTGGCCTTCCGCTCCAGGGGAAACGCCGTGGTGTAGCGCATGTAGTCGTCGACGAGCACAAGAAAGTAGCGCTCACCGCGCGGTCCGGGGACGGGGGCTGGGCCCCAAATGTCCAGGTGCAAGGTCTAAAGGGGAGCAGTAGCAGGGCGAAGCGAGGAGGAGTGAGGGGCACGACGGAGCTGGCCCTCGATGCAAGGCATGCACGGTGGCACAGTCGAGGGGGGAAGTGCGGGGAGCGACTCGGGGAGGCCTAAGACAAGTCCGTGCTGAGACATGTAACGCAGGCGCGGGAGAGCAGGGTGACCTAAGCGGTGGTGCCACAGAAGGGATAGGTGTGTGAGGGACCGACACGAGCAAGCTGCAGCGACCTGGGAGGACGCACCAACTGGGGGGGAAGCGGTGTCGAGGGTAAACAGACTGGACACCGGGTCCCGGGGGAACGTCGCAAGGGGGGAACCTGAGACTGCCTCGGTACAGACAGCGAACCGCTCGTGCCCAGGGAACGTAGTGGTGACGCCGAGGTCCTGAAGACGACCGACACCAACAAGGTTCCTGGAGAACGAGGGAACGTGGAGGCTTGTAAGAGAGCCTGAGGGAACGGTTGGACAGGGAAGGGAAGTGGAGCTGCGAGCGACGACAGGACCCGCGGAGGGGTCAGCGAGAGCGACAACAGCAGGCGCAGCAAGCGGCGTGAGCATGGAGCGGTCGCGGAAGAAACAGGCAGAAGCACCGGAGTCGAGAGTGAAGGACAGCGAGGCAGTAGCGGAGGCCGGGAACGGAGCCGGTGCAGAAACTAGGCTAGGCAAACTAGGCAGTCCTACGCCTGACGTAGCAAGGGAGGCTAAGCTACACAAGGGTGCTACGCCTAAACTAGAGTACAGAGGGTAATAATTTCCAGCAACACTAGAAGCGTCAGCTTACAAGGCATGCAAAGCAACACCTATTTGATCCATATCTAAATCAAAGATCGGCACGCCCTGGCGAAGCAGGCTGTGCCAGTCGGGGAGGTCTGGGGCCGGGCCAAAGCGACGATGAAAGAGATCGTCGAAGCGGCGGAAACAGCGGACGGTTGGGTGCGCGCGGCGGCACAGAGTGCCGCGGAGAGGCCCGGTCTGAAGCTGGTACTGGCAAGTCAACCGCATGGCCCTCAGCGTCCAGGCGAAGTACGAAGTCAGCCATCGTGCAGGGTCAGCGACACAGGGACACAGCGGCACAGCTCCACACGATACAGCGGCATAGGAACACAGCAGCACAGCTCCAGTGGGACGTCCGCAGGACGCTCCAGCGCTGGCAAGCAGAAGACACGAGGCCAGAGACCCGAGGAACCGTGCTGAGCAGAAGACACGAAGCCGCAGGAGCCGGGCAGGCACTGGGAGCTGCGGGCCGCACGAGCCGGGCACGCGTATAGGGGCCGGGCAGGCGCTGGGTGGGGCCGGGCGGGCGGTGTGGGACGGGCGGGCGCAACAAGCCAGGCGGGCGCTAGCCGGGGCCGGGCGGGCGCTGTGGAGGGGCTGGGCGGGCGGTAGAGGGGGCCGGGCGGACGCTAGGAGGGGCCGGCTAGGAGCGGGCGCGAACGGCCAGGGGGCCGGCTAGGAGCGGGCGCGACGGCCAGGGGGCCGGCTAGGAGCGGGCGCGAACGGCCAGAGGGCCGGCTAGGGGCGGACGCAACGGCCAGGGGGCCAGTTAGGGGCGGGCTCGACGGCCAGGGGGCCGGCTAGGGGCGGGCTCGACGGCCAGGGGGGCGGCTAGGGGCGGACGCGAGGGCCAGGGGGCCGGCTAGGGGCGGACGCGACGGCCATGGGGCCGGCTAGGGGCGGACGCGACGGCCAGGGGGCCAGCTAAGGGCGGGCGCGACGGCCAGGGGGCCGGCTATGGGCGGACGCGACGGCCAGGGGGCCGGCTAGGGGGGGACGCGACGGCCAGGGGGCTAGCTAGGGGCGGGTGCGACGGCCAGGAGTCCGGCTAGGGGTGGGCGCGATGGCCAGGGGGCCAGCTAGGGGCGGACGCGACGGCCAGGGGGCCAGTTAGGGGTGGGCGCGACGGCCAGGGGGCCGGCTAGGGGCGGACGCGACGACCAGGGGGCCGGCTAGGGGCGGGCGCAACGGCCAGGGGGCCGGCTAGGGGCCGACGCGACGGCCAGGGGGCCGGCTAGGGGCGGACGCGACAGCCAGGGGGCCGGCTAGGGGGGGACGCAACGACCAGGGGGCCGGCTAGGGGCGGACGCGACGGCCAGGGGGCCGGCTAGTGGCGGACGCGACGGCCAGGAGGCCGACTAGGGGCGGACGCGACGGCCAGGGGGGCCGGCTAGGGGCGGACGCAACGGCCAGGGGGCCAGCTAGGGGCGGGCGCGACGGCCAGGGGGCCGGCTAGGGGCGGACGGGACGGCCAGGGGGGGAGGGGGCCAGCTAGGGACGGGTCACGAGGGCGGCTAGGGCCTAGGGCGGAAGCGTGGGCGGGCGAGAGGAACCGAACCTACTCATAATACCATGTTAGAAAGAGAGAATGAATCGACTAGTGTGAGAAACCTAGAACATGTACCTGTTGGGGTTGTACTCACTAAAAGCACACACTTAGGCTAGCCTATAACTTCTACATACAGCATATGTTTAAGTTAACAGCCAGGCCCGCGTAGTTCACTTGGCATCTGGTGCCAACACAGCTGATATCTTTACTAAGTCGCTTGCATCTAAAGATCGTCTGCGACACTGTGTACTGCTTAGTCTAGTTCCAGTAGCTCTTCACTTGTTGGCGCAATCTAGTTCATTGCGTTATTCTAACACAAGTCTGCACTGTGATTTGGCACATCCTGGTTCATAGGAAATCGCCCCTAGATTAGAAGAAACAAGGCTGGCACGATTCGTCTGTACCCTTCCCCTTGCTATACCGATGTCCCGGGGTATATTCATTAATTTCTACGTATTTGTGGTGTTTGCATCATGAATTGAGTTGAGTGGTGTTATCCGAAGAAGCCATATGTAAGGAATTACAATTCCTTACTGCGCTGAACTACAGCGCGTACACCCGAAGACCTCGACCTCGCAGGTTCGGCCTCGATTGTCGGCCCAAACCTTCCCGCGTCGCGCTCCGACACCCTCGCCACCCTTCCAAGCCACATCACGTCCCGAGGTTCTCGCCCTAGCACGTACGAGCCCTATTTTAGCCAGTTCGCTCGTCACTTGCTGATCAATTATTATTCCTAGGTTGTATTTCCATCACTCCGTCGATTGTCCCATTCCCACTCATAACACCATATAAGCCAGCTAGTATAGCCATGTCATGACCTGGTTCGCCTTCCTGCACCACTACTCGTCGTGACAAGCCCTGCGAGGGTGTTGGGTCGCCAGTTCAGCACAAACTCGACCACCTCAGCAACAGCATTCCCCAGCCCCGTTGACTCCACGAACCCCGCTGTTAGCCCCTTGAGTTCTCCGCGCTCTTACCGAGTCCTCCGAATTTATAAATTCTCTCGTCAGCCCTGCGAACCGGGAAGTTCATCTTGTCAGCCCTGCGAAACTGTAATTCGCTTCGCTGGAATCGCTCGCTGTTTCGCTTGGCATATCCCAAACGAGGAGTTTTATTTTTTCTTCGCTTTCACTCCCAATCACATTCGGAGCTTCCTGTCTCCACCGCACCAAGCCCCAAACCGAGCCCTCCGCCAAAGCTAGCCTTGCAGTACAGCACAGTAGCAAGGATATGTCCGTGTTTTCTCGCCCTTCGTCCCCATGTCCGCTCCTCGCTCTTCACTCACCACGTCAGCTTTCTTGTACGCCCAGCCCCCAGACCTCTATACAAAACGGCCTGGATCGTACTCTTTTCCCGCTCACCTTAGGATCTATTTTCTTACCCCCATTCCTGACCATCGGGACAAAGGTACCCTTCTCTTGGCATTCATTAGCAACTGCGTAGCTTGAAGCAGGCATACGACTCGGCTTACATTCCTACCGTAGAACCAGCGACCAAAACTGACAGTACTGCACGAAGTGACTGGCTGAGTTGAGCTCATACCACTGCCAGCAAACTCAGGTTTCCCGCGCATCACTGATCCCCATGAAGACATTCGCGGTTCTTTTCCTTCTCCTCCTCGTGGTTTCAACCTGGACCGTCGCGCCCACATACGCTGCGCGCATATTAGCGGCCACGTCGGACTCGCCGGCTCTCGGGGCAGGGGAGCTCATATCGACGTACATGGGAGTCGGAGGCTCCTCTGGCGAAATTACTACCAGCACTACTCGCTCTGTTACCGACGACCCCGGGTCGCTGACTCCAAATCCGAGTCGCACGCGGCGCGTTCTACAGAGCGACCTCCTGTACGAGGATGAGGAGGATAACGGTGACGGCGGATGGAGCGGCGACGACTCGGGAAGCGGGTGGGAAGGCCCCCATGCCGACTGGGGCTACGTCGGCTCGACTGACACGGGCGGAAGCACGGAGCCTTGGACGGGCGACTCGTCGGGAGACGACTCTTCAACGGACGACTCGATAACGGACGACTCGATAACGGACGACGGAAGCAGCGGGGACGGCGGCGGCGGCGGCTTCTGGGAAGATCTCTGGAACAAGTGGGGGTGGGACTCCGACTCGTCTGACTCCGGCTCGTCCGACGAGCCAGACCCCGGAACGGACTGGGGCGACGATGGCGGCAGCAGTGGGTGGACGGGCGACTCGTCGAACGACGGCAGTGGTGGGGGAGGCGACGATTGGTCGGGCGATGGGTCGGACGACGGGTCGGGTGGCGATGATTGGTCGGGTGTCGGGGGAAACGATGATTGGTCGGGCGACGACGGGTCTGGTGATGGGTCTGGCGATGGATCTGGCGACGGGTCTAACGGCGGCGGATCGAGTGGAAAAGGATGGGGAAATCCGTACCCTGGGTATGGCTGGATCGGCTCGACTGATACAGGTGGCAGCACGGACAGCGGTGAGGACACACAGTATCGCAGCATGTACCGACGATGGCAGTAGTAGCAGTGCCCCCCTGACGTCCCCACTTCCGTGCTTTTAATTTTTATCAAAAGCTGGCCCACATGCCTGGGGATTGCATGTGGTTGTGCCAGCTCTGCTTGGTAACGCACCTGAGACTGGGGGCTGCAAGTATCATGCAGGGGGTAATGATGCTGCATGGTAGGCTGCAATTGAAGAAATAACTAGCACCAACGTTGTACGTGAAGGTGCTACGGATGATATTTTTGGTGTGGTTCTTATTTGATACGGGGATGTGTGTTCTTGGCTGGAGTTCAGAGTTGAAGTGTAACCATTTAGTTCTACGTTATCAAATATTATTGCATGCTTTCACAATGACCAATGACAATCATTAATGGGTTTCCGGAACCTGGAATCTCATAGTAAATCACATCTCACCAGTGTTACGATCCACCATGATTAGCAGGTATAGGTGTTTGTTTGAAAGGTAATCCACATGATTCATGAGCATATGAAGCTTGTTTGGGGTTATGTGCAGACTGATTTCTATTGTGTCAGTTAGCGCCTCTTCAACATCTCTCTAGGAGCAAGGGCAGGACAAAGGGGGCCTGTTTTGAATGAACGAAAATAGTGTTACTCATATAATGGGCAGTCTTTACATGCAATCTGAAAATTCTCATTGTTGATAATAATATGCACATAAATATCTTGGTGGTATTGTATAATCAATGGCGACATATTTATGACAGCAGCGTGAACCTAGTAATGAAAGTAGAATGCAACTGAGTTACCTATGGGATGCTGTACGTTAAAGTTAATAGCATTAACGGGTATTGACAGGTAATAGCCTGCATCACCTTGCTGTACGGCTATTCGTCGTGTCAAGCCGTGGGAGGGTGTTTGAGTCGACAGATCAGCACCAATCTTGGCTCGACGAATTTCTTCGACCTCAGCAACAGTGCTCCCCAACCCCGTTGACTCCAGGGAAGCAAGCGAATCGAGATGGTAGCTGATTGGGTTCCCTGCGCTGTTACCGAGTCCTGCGTATTCAGAAATTCATATCGTCAGCCTCGCGAATGTGGAAGTTCCTCTCGCCAGCCCTGCGATTTTGTAATTTGCTTCGTTGGACTCGTTCGCTTTTCGCTCGCCGTATCCCATCTCGTGTCAACAAGGAGCAACTTTCTTTCTGTACTGGGCAAACTGACCTGAACCCTCCCCCCCCCCCCCTCTGCTCCTGGGCACACAAGCCAGACCTCACTGAGCACAGCCCACATCCCCCCGTTTCTAGTAGTATTGCTGTGATACAGTATATGTGGCGCACGGATTCTCCTCGCAGGGTCATTATCTCGCTACCACGCAGAATCTGTTGAACTTGGAGATATCCCGCTGTTAATTCCCTCGTAGTCCCTTCCCCCTTCTATCGTCTCGCCTGCATTCCTAGCATTAGTATATTTTTTTCCAAGAACCGTCGCGATGAAGCCGCTTGTGTATGCCATCCTCCTTCTCGTCCTCCTCGGCACTCTCGATGCCGCGCTCGCGCGTCCCAAGAGGGCCCGCCCTAAGCGCGCCAGCCCCGCGGTCTTTATGGACGGGCGCCGCTGGTATCCGCACCCCCACGCGTTCCGCCCCAAGCGCGCCAGCCTTGCGCACCCGCTGCTAGACCAGCGCGAGCCGTCTCCGCGCAGGTTCCGCCTCAAGCGCCACAGCCTTGCGCACCCGCTGCTAGACCAGCGTGAGCCGTCTCCGCGCAGGTTCCGCCTCAAGCGCCACAGCCTTGCGCATCCGCTGCTAGATCAGCGCGAGCCGTCTCCGCGCAGGTTCCGCCCCAAGCGCGCCAGACTCGTGTCGCGCACGTCATACGACCCTGAAGGCGACTTCGCGATGTCCCATCACTACCGCCCCAAGCGCGCCAGCCCCGCGCACGCTAGCGGTCCGCGGATGCTGCGCGGAGGCGGGGCGGAGATGGGCCCTGTGACTCGGTATAGTACTGTGGACCCAAATGACTATTATCCGGATTGGTACACTCCGCCGTCTTACTGGACTGACCTGGGATATGGAAGCAGCTGGGACTATGGCAGCGACATGAGCCCTTACGGGGATTATTACCTGAATCTGAATGATCAGTTGTTCGGTTCTGATGGTGATTGGACGAATGGAGGGTCCGGAGACTTTAGCTCAGTGTATGGAGGATACGGAGACTATGGATCTTATTAGCCGGTCACGAGTGTGGATGTTGCCTTGTCTGTTCTTTGCACGGAAATCATTCGCCGCTTTAGGGAGCATTCGGCGGCATAGCGTTCAGGGCATTGGCGGCGCACACGCTGCAGTAAGGTTTTTTCCTTGTGCTAGTAGTTCTGGGAGAGATTCAGTGTGTGGGCTGGAATGCTATATTAATTTTGAACTGTTTTGTCTTTTGTAGGGCGGGGCGGGTCAGGGCTTCCACTCCTTCTGTTTGAGAGTCTGTAATAAGATAATACTGGATATCATCAATTCAGAAACTCGGCCACTAACCACTGAGATAAAAGGGCTTGTTAAAAGCGGGTCAGTGCGCCAACAACCCACCAGGCTCTGCACCTGTGGCCCTTCCCAAGGATCTTCTCAAGGGTATTCCCCCGGATATACGCGCAGGGGTGCGTTTAGGGATTATAGTCTAATTTTGGGGGGTGCGTTTATTCGAATTTTTGCGATATGGCCCAGTGCGTTAAAATGGTTTTTTTAGAAAATAAAAAACGGCACCAAAATGTACTTCTAACAGCCGCCAAACCAAGGCATGTTTTTGCAGCAGCGAATACAACAGAGATCCGCATGAAAGTGGTCCGGAAACATCAAACCAGCCAGGCGTATGTGGATGCTGCCAAACGGACCAACCACGAGCACTGCGGCACGGACGCTGTCACAGCTCAAGTGTTGGTGATGCTGCGTTGGAGTTTTTGTGCGAATATGCTGTCTGGCGGTCCAATTTGTCAAACATGTTTAGTTATCATGCTTGTATAGACTGTATAGGGTCATCTTCTAGAGAGTACAACAGTTAGGTATATGTTTGTGTACTCTCTCTCTCTATTCATCAATTTCACTGTTTGATATGGTATCACGCGTAGGTAGGATCCCCCCCCCCCCCCCCCCCCTCACGCTTCCGCTCGCCCCCTAGCTGGGCCCTGTCGTCCTAGCTCCGTCGCGACCCTCCCTAGCCCCGTCGCGATCCTCCCTAGCCCCGTCGCGCCCCTTCCTGGGCCCCGTTGCGCCCCTTTCTGGGCCCCGTCGCGCTCCTCCCAGGCCTCGTAGCGCCCCTCCTGGGCCCCATTGCGCTCCTCCCAGGCCCCGTCGCGCCCCTTCCAGGGCTTCGTAGCGCCCCTCCAGGCCCCGTCGCGCCCCTTTCAGGGCTTCGTAGCGCCCCTCCAGGCCCCGTCGCGCCCCTTCCAGGGCCTGGTAGCGCCCCTCCAGGGCCCCGTCGCGCTCCTCCCAGGCCCCGTAGCGCCCCTCCTGGGCCCCATTGCGCTCCTTCCAGGCCCCGTCGCGCCCCTCCCTAGCCCAGTCGCGCTCCTCCCAGGCCCCGTAGCGCCCCTCCTGGGCCCCAGTGCGCTCCCCCCAGGCCCCGTCGCGCCCCTACCTGGGCTTGGTAACGCCCCTCCAGGCCCCGTCGCGCCCCTACCCATCCCCGTCGCCCCTGCTCGGCCCCGTCGCCCCTGCTCGGCCCCGTCGCCCCTGCTCGGCCCCGTCGCGGCCTATCGGCCGCGTGGCGCCCGCCCGGCCCCTGTCGCGGCTGCCCGGCCCCTGTCGCACCTGCCCGGCCCCTGCTCGCCCGCCCGGCCCCGTCGCCCCTGCCCGGCCCTGCTGTGGCCTGCTCGGGCCCCGTCCCTGCCGCCCGGCCCCGTCGCCGCCGCCCGGCCCCGTCGCAGCCGCCCGGCCCCGTCGCAGCCGCCCGGCCACGTCGCAGCCGCCCGGCCACGTCGCAGCCGCCCGGCCCCGTCGCCCCTGCCCGGCCCTGCTGTGTCCGGCCCGGCCTCGTCCCTGCCGCCCGGCCCCGTCGCAGCCGCCCGGCCCCGTCGCAGCCGCCCGGCCACGTCGCAGCCGCCCGGCCTTGTCGCTGCCGCCCGGCCCCGTCGCCGCCGCCCGGCCCCGTCGCCGCCGCCCGGCCTTGTCGTGCCTGCCCGGCCCCGACGCACCTACCCCGGCCCTCCATACTTCCTGGTACTGTCCCCCGTTCCCCGCACCACTTTGCACCCTCCTGCACTTTCCTGCCCCGCCTTGCATCGCATTGCACCTCACTGGATCGCACTGACCGCACTGCACCGCACTGGACCGCACTGCACCGTACTGCACCGCACTGGACCGCACTGCACCGCACTGCATCGCACTGCACCGCACTGCACTGTCCTCCACTGCCCCTCATGGCTGCTGAGCTTCGTTTTGATGTTGAGGGTCAGCCTCTGGAGTTCGAGGCGTGGTTGGCTGACCTTCGCCGCCACCTCACTGGCCAGCGGCAGGACGGCCACCCGCTTTCTGCACACCTAGACGGTATGCTCCCCTGCCCTGACCCCCCTGCTGTGCTGCCCGCTGATCCCACGCCCGCTGAGCGCGAGTCCACTGCCGCTGCTGCCCTTGCCCGCTCTGTCTGGCTTTCCCGCGATGCCCTTGCTCAGCTCGCCATTAGCAATGCCCTCCCCCCCACTGAGCGCCCTCGCTTTAGAACCATTCCTACCGCCCAGGCCTACCTCGATGCTGTCATCAAGCGCTATTCTACCCCTCCTGCTGCCTCAGTGGGTCGCCTGATCCTTTCCCTGCTCTTTCCTGACCTGGCGTCTTTCCCCACTGTCTCTGACCTCGCTGCCCACCTGCGCTCGATAGATGAGGCCTGGCGCGCTGCCTGCACTGATGCTCAGCTTAGAGTCCACCAGCCTCCCATGACCTCTACCCTCTACCTCCTTGCCACCCGCCTACCTGACCGCCTTGCTGCCGCCCGCGACCAGTTCCTTAGCATCCACCCTGCTGCTCTCACCCTCACCGACTTTGTTGACACCCTGACTGCCATAGAGACTCGTCACCGCTCCATAGCCCTGGCGAGCGGTACAGTACCGGTCCCTATCTTTCAGGGTTGTGCCCCCGCTCAGTGTACCTTCTCCGACGGCTCTGTCGCTGTGGCTGAGACTGCTGCTGCAGTGCAGTCCCGCTCGGCGAAGGGCCGCCGCCCCAAGGTTGGGAGCGGCGGAGGCGGCGGGGGTGCGGGTGGGGGTAGTGGTGGAGGCGGGTCGTCCGGTGCCGGTGCGGACGTGGGGACCCTGCCCGGTCCAGCTGCCCCGCTGCCTCCACAGTTGCAGCAGCCGCAGCAGCAGCAGTCGCCGCAGCCGCAGCCTTCGCAGCAGCCGCAGCAGCCGCCGCAGACGAGGCAGGCGAGTACTCTCCCACCTGGGTGGCCTGGAGCTGGTGGTGGTCGTGCGCGTGGTGGTGCACCGGGTGGTGGTTCTGGAGGCGGGCCCTGTCAGTACCAGATCCAGACCGGTCCTCGCCGCGGCTTCGTTTGCGGTAAGATCGGTCATTCTACTCCTCGCTGTTTTCGTCGCCTGGACGACCTGTTCCGCCAGCGCTTTGGCCCGGCGCCCGACCTCCCGGACTGGCACAGCTTGCTTAGGCGTAGCATTAGGATTTTTGACTTGGACATGGATGCCATTGTAGCGGCCTTGCATGTGATGTATGCTGATGACTCTAGTGTGCTTCCCTCTTATTACCCCGTGTTGCCTAGTGTAGCGGTGCCTAGCGTAGACTCCCCTGCTGCGTCAGGCCTAGGATCTCCTGCTTTGCTTAGCCTTGGTGCTTCCACCGCTTCACTGCTGCCTCGCGCGACTGCTGCGCTTTCCTTCACCTTGGACTCTGGCGCCTCCCGGTGTTTCTTCCGCGACTCCACGACGCTGACGCCGCTGCCTGTTCCCGCTGCAGTTACTCTTGCTGACCCCTCCGGTGGTCCCGTCGTTGCCCGCAGTTCCACCTCCCTTCCCTGTCCGGCGGTTCCTTCGGGCACTCTCACAGGTCTGCATATCCCCTCGTTCTCCAGGAACCTAGTTGGTGTCGGCTGCCTCCAGGACCTTGGCGTCACCACTACGTTCCCTGGTCACGAGCGGTATGCTGTCTGTACCGAGGCCGCCACTGGTGCCCCCCTTACCACTTTCCCCCGGGACCCGGTGTCCGGCCTGTTCACACTTGACACCGCGCCGTCCCCGGCTGGGTCTTCCCCCCCGGTAGCTGCGTCCACCCAGGTTGCAGCCGCGTGCTCCTGTCGGTCCCTCACTCACCCGACTCTCCTTTGGCACCACCGCCTTGGTCACCCTGCACTCCCACGTCTGCGTCACATGTCCCAGCACGGTCTCGTCCTTGGTCTCCCCGGTTCGTTCCCCGAGTTTCCCTCCTCCCCCGCCCCACCGTGCACGCCTTGTGTCGAGGGCCGGCTCCGCCGTGCCCCTCACTCCTCCTCTTTTCCCCCTACCACCGCACCACTGCAGACTCTGCACATGGACGTCTGGGGCCCAGCCCCGGTCCATGGGCCGCGTCGCGAGCGCTTCTTCCTAGTGCTTGTCGACGACTTCACGCGCTACACCACCGTCTTCCCCCTGGAGCGGAAGGCCGACGTGCCTGACGTTCTCATCCCCTGGCTTGTCTCTGCTCGTGTCCACCGCGGTCTCCCTGCCTTGCGCCTTCACTCCGACCGGGGTGGCGAGTTTGCCTCAGGTGTCCTTGGTCGCTTCTGTCGTGCGGAGGGCATCACCCAGACGTTTACCCTGCCGGACTCCCCGTAGCAGAATGGGGTCGCTGAGCGACGCATCGGTTTGGTCATGGAGGTGGCTCGCACCTCCATGATCCACGCCGGTGCACCCCATTTTCTGTGGCCGTTCGCCGTGCGCTACGCCGCTCACCAGCTTAACCTGTGGCCGCACCCCCAGCGGCCGCAGGTTTCGCCGACCCTTCTGTGGACCGGGTCCCCTGGTGACGCGTCTGCGTTCCGCGTCTGGGGCTGCCTTGCTCACGTTCGTGCCTCTGGCACGGACAAGCTCACTGCCCGCACCCTCCCCTGCGTCTTCCTCGGTTTCCCCCTTGACGCGTCCGACTGGCACTTCTACCACCCGCCGTCTCACCGCTTCTTTCACTCTCGCGACGTCACCTTTGACGAGTCCGTCTCCTTCTACCGCCGCTTTCCCCACCGTGGTCCCCCGGTTACTCCCCCCCTTTTCCTGGTTCCTCCCTCCCTGGTGGTCCCTGCCCCTCCCCCCCCCCCGCCCCCCCGTCCGGCCCCTCTGGTGTGTCTCACGTCACCCCCCTCCCGTCGGTCGTCCCGGTCGACGAGTCTTCTGACTCTGGTAGTCCTCCGGCGCAGTCCTCGCCGTCTGTCCCTCCCCCGGTGTCTCCTCCTCCACCGCCTCCGCAGCCGCCGTC